CATCGCGTCTCCTCGAATCCTATCACCACTTCCTCTCTTCGCAACAAAAAGTCCACAGACACTTCCACAATACCGCAATACCGTAATCATGATCCGACAAGATTTCAACCGGATCGACTCCAAGAGACGTACAGGTCTCGATTACAGGAAGAAGCAGTTCGCGGCACCTACATACCAAAACCTCGAGTACCAGCACCGACTGAATTTCTACATCACACCTCCAACTGCAGATATCACGCTCGAACAATTCGAGCAATGGGCGATTGATCGACTACGAGGTATGTCCCAAGATAAATGACCTGGGGATAGTGCTGATAGAAGTAGTTCTGGCGGAAATCGAAGCATGCTCATTCAGGAACAAATCGACCGCCGAGACAGCAGCACATATGAAGCCCCTCCTCGATAAATACCTCCCACTTGGCTCTTCTACGTCTGGATCTACGACTTTGCAAGCCGAGAGGCAAAAAGACCATTATAGTCACTTCATTCTTCGACTTGCGTTCGCATCGACTGAGGATCTGCGAAGACGGTTTTCACGCGTCGAGTCAATGCTCTTCAGGATAAGATTTCAAGCAGATAATTTGAGGGAGAGGCAATCGTTTGTGGAGGGTCTGAATCTGGATTGGGAGACGGTCAGTGATGATGAGAGGAGAGAATTCTCGGAGGAGTTGAGGGCTGCGGGAGGTGGATATCCTACCAGAATTGAGGATGAGAGTTACTTCAAGGTGGACTGGGAGCGCGTTCCTGAGTTGGTTGAAAATAGGAGGGTGTTCTTAAAGGCTGGTAAAGCATATGTCCCCGGACGAGAACAGTTGTCTATGGTTGTAGCTGAGTTTACTGGACGTCTGGATAAAGCACTTGAGGTTTGACCTTCCATCTTCTTGGGCTGGGGAATTTGCTGACTGAAGAAGATGACCTCGCGCGCCCTACCTCGTCTCGATGAAGATGATAGACTAACGCCCATTCTCGCGCATCTCTCTAACAATTTCACCACCCCAGATGCGAACTACTCCAGCTCTTCAACTTCTCTCCCAGGAGCCGACATATCAGCCCGAAACGTCGACGCACTCTCATCCTCCTTCCCACTCTGCATGCAGAACCTCCACCGGTCACTTCGTCGAGACGCACATCTCAAGCACTACGGCCGTTTACAATACTCGCTCTTCCTTAAAGGCATCGGTCTCAACCTCGAAGAATGTCTGATCTTCTGGCGCTCCTCGTTCAGCAAGATCACGGACGATGTTTTCAACAAGGAGTACAGATATAATGTCCGCCACGTGTATGGAGATGTGGGAGGTGATTCGAATAGGAGAGGCAATGGATATAGTCCGTTCTCATGCCAGAAGATCCTCACTGAGCATGCACCAGGACCGGGAGAGGCGCATGGTTGTCCGTACAGGCATTTCAGCGTGGATAACTTGACGTCGTTACTCCAAGCTGTGGGTGTCAAAGACCAAGAAGTTTTGAGGGGCGTGAAGGATGACAAGGAGAAATTGAAGTACCACTTAGCTTGTAACCGGTAAGTCCACCTCCCTCGCAGATATCAAATCTGGACATGGCTAATGAGTGATAGGGTCTTCGATTATGTCCACAAACAAGAGATTAAGAAGGTCAAAGATGATGGAACGTGGACTGCAAACCAGTTAGAGACGCTAGTACATCCGAACGAGTACTTCAAGAGGAGTTACCTATTGAAGAATCTGGGCAATAACCCAACGGAAGGCGAGAAGTCGGATGTAAAGATGGAGGGATAGGATAGAATGGATTGGATGGGCTCGGTTTGGGAGCACGGAAAGACATGATCGCATGGTTGGTTGGTGTTATGGCGCTGCTGGATATCAGGTAATGATGGCCTTTGGGATTACTTTGTTTATACATTCTGATTGGTATGACGTATGAATATTGTTCGAAAGCTCGATATTTTGAGGTGCACTTGTGTTTTGGGGAGCTTGTGTTGTTTTGGCTTTCCAGTCCCATGGTGGATTTGTCTCGGAACCAAGGCCTTTTACCATGCTTTCCGCGAGCGTTTTCGAATTGTAGTGCAGAGGCGGAGGCAGAGAGAGCCATGCCCTAAAAGACTAAGACTGGAATGGAGAAGAACTGTAATTATTGACAATGGCAGGCATCCTAGATGCATCTGGGTTTTGGTTTACAAGCGGAGTCTTGTTGATGTAGCGGGGATAGTTTGAGATCTACGACGCCTATTGAAAGAGCCTTCTACCCTTAGAGGAGCAATCTCCACTCCATCGACTGTCAGCCTCGTCTTAAAACGTGTCTAGGAAGATGTCTAGAGGTCCCAGTTCTTCATGTCCGGGAGGAGAAACGGGGCTTGGACATAGAAGAAGGGTTTGGACTTGCTGCTACGAAAGCTGAAGGAATGTGATCTGATTTGTATTTTGTTTGGGTGCAGTGCCCCGTAGTGGTACTGTGAAGATGGGGAAGTGTTCTTGTATTTAATTGGGGGAGCGTACATTCATGACATGATGGATGGGGAGATTTGCGCTCGGGAAAGACTGGATTATCATTATGAGACTGTTGTGCCTTGTTGAGGTATCTAGAGATTAATGGTAGTTAATCCACTCCTAGCCGAAGCCAACGTATGTGTACGCTCAAGCAATCTGCTTGGGATAGTACCATACAGCAGTTCTAGCTCCCTCTATCAAAACCTCCCTCCATCAAAATCTCCCCCCGAACAGAACCCTCGTCCAACAACACGAACTCATGCAATCTGCTCAGGTATTTCCCATACCGCAGGTCCAGCTCCTTCCCTCAAAACCTCTCTCCGAACAGAATCCTCATATAGTGGCATCGGATCCACACCTTTTGCCTCGCAACGAGCTGCAAGCTTCTCATATTGCTTCTTCGGTCCTGAGACTGGAAAGCGCAGACACTCTACCTTGGCTGTATGTTCATTCCAATGTCTCTTATCCGTCTCTGCATTGGCCGCCTTCCGCAACCCATCTGCCATTGCAGCATCTCGATATTGGAGAACCAAGATAATACGTCTCAGAGATGGTGCGATGCTGTGCTTATTCTCAAGAATCTCGTCGACGATGTCTGTCCTATTCGCAGCGAACTTGGAGATCTTCAAGACCTCAAGTCATAGAGGTAGAAGTCTTTCGATATGGCTGTCGATTTGATCAAAGGGGTATGAGACCTGAAAGGCTGCAACGGGTGCTAAGTGCTCATGATGAATATCCAGATAGCGAACACTCTTGAGCAAGTCCATCCCGGGGGCTGGGACTATAGCCTCGTGCACATGCTTCATGTCATATCTGAAAGATTCTAGGGAATTGGCTATTTCGCCTCTTGAGATACTCCGGAGGCAATAGTAGTGGTTCCTGGCAATGACGGGGCGTAACTCGTTCACATCGCGATCAGAGTGAGCGGATATTGACTTGTGGGCTCGGGGATAGCGCATGATTTGGTGAAGAGTGACACCAGTAATATCGCAGTCGATGAGGTTGATCGTCTTCAAAGCAGTTGAACTTGGGAAATTGCAACAAATATCTTTTCCACCGGCTTTTAAAAACTTATCCGACACCGCCCAGTGAAGTTCTAGTCTGCGAAGATGGGGATGCTATAGAAGTGGGACTGCCTGTGATATTGGCCAAACACCGTGTGACCTGAAGCTCAAGGTGTCTGTTCTCAATAGTTAGCTCGAATTTGACGAATAGTATTTAAGACAAAGATTTTACTCACACGAGACGAGCTGGCTAGGTAACGTCTTAGGCATGAGCATCGGCCATCTTGTCAATTTTCGGCCGTTCTTCAAGCAATCGTACTCGATAGCCAGATGTTGCAGGTTAGTCATGTCCCGAATATGATTGATAGTGTAGAGCGGTAAAATGGTTGATCCATTCCAGTCCATGGAGAGGTCGAACTTTTGTATGCGTTCCAAAAGATGAGGCCCATAGAGAACACGACCAGCAGCGAGTTGTCGCAGCTTTTCCTCATCGTTGATGACGACAGACTTATAGAGTATGGGCGTAGCATTGCCGTGGAGGAGCTTGCATGTGCGAGCTAGCGCAGAGACATCGGCTGGTCTCGTAAAGTTGGTCGCGATCATGCAGAGGAGTTCGTTCGAGAGACGGCAGAAGAGGGAAGGGCTGTTGTTGTTTTTGCTCGGTTCTCCATCGCGGGAAGTTATGACGCCTGGAGAGGACATTGGAGAGACCACAGAGTGGTTACTCCGGTGGTGTAGTATTTGCGGGAAAGTGCGCATCGTGTTCCTGGCGTTGTTCAAGATTTTGAAGTTGGGCGCGCAGTCGAAGGGATCCAGGTAAGTAAATAGACCTGCTCGCTTGTCCTGGTCAGGCCCTCACGTGATGTGGCATTCACTAATTGTCTCGAAAGACGGCGACAGCACCATGATCATCTTTATAACTTGATGATCGATTTGCGAGAGATTCACCTACTTCGTGGCTTGCGCTGCGTTGCTTCCTAGAGAAGCGTAGGATTGCATGGGTAGGTAAATAGGATGATATGCATCGCTTATGGAGACCCTTCTGAGCTCGCAAACTTGACTTGTGATTTGTATCACAGCAATGCAAACTAGCAGCTAGCAGCAATCTGGAAACAACTTAGAAGGTATTAAACAAGTACCTAGGTAGCTTAACACAGTTGTTTTAGCGATATCTTAGGAAGAGTCAACTCGTGTTGAAATACTACTATCACGTGGATGTCAATTCTGGCCAATCCGAGCCCTCAAGAACTTCACCGAGAAGTTTTGTTGCATGTCGCAAAGTTGGGAAGACAAAATGCAATTTTTTGACGGTTGTGTAGGATTTCTGGTGGTTTTGTGGATGGTTGCGCGGATTCGGACGGTTACAGGGCTGTCCTCCGATAACGGAGACTAGAATACCCTAAAAATTTGTGTATGCCATATAGCTAAATAACAAGTTTTGGAGCATCTTCCAGCAAATACAGCAGCGAAGTCACTCGTTTGTGAACTCCAGCATCAAATGCGACAGATCGTTCCAGATCTCCAGCAATAAAATGGTTGTATAGTGTAGCGGTTAGCACGTGGGATTTTGACTACATATCAGAATCATGTTCTGCAAAGAACTTTCCCGAATCCCCGGTTCGAGCCCGGGTACGACCTAAATGCATCGTTCTACGAATTATCTTTTTGCCTTTTGCTCAGCGAGAGAAAGCCGCCATCAGCTTGAGGTTTTTCTTGCAATTTTTTTTGGCTGGTGTGGCTCCTTAAAACTTGTGGTTTAGCCGAAGTTTCACCCCACCATACAAGGAACACAAAAAAACTATTTAGGTAGGCACAAAAGAGCTGCTTTCTGAAGGCAACTGGCTACTCGAGTAGGAAGAACGCAAGCAAAAATTATTCTTATTCTCTCGTCCCTTGGGGTTGATGGTACACTGAAGTTAACCAGGAAGTGAAGGATCTCCCTTCCCTTAAACTCACCTGTACTTAAGCGGGAGGTCCCCTAACCAGGTGGCCTCACCCGCTTGGCCTTGAAATATATATATATATATAATTTTTTTTTTTTTTTTTTTTGGAATCAGAAGCTGAGAAGCTCTTTCAAAACTTTTGATTCTTGTTGGTGCTTTAGAGAGATGGTTTATTCCAAGCCAATTTCATCAACTCGAACTAAACCCATTTGAGACCTAGGCAGCTAATTACGTCCAAGTCGACTTGGCTGTTGACTTGTTGACTCAGAGTCGCTTCCAGTTATCCAGGCTGTATGCCCGTTTCCTTTCAACATTCTATCTCTTCTGTTCAGACTTTCCTTGATGTATGGTCTTTTCGATCATCAGCACCTGAGCTACAAAATTTTCTTTTTTTTCATGTTTGTTTTGAAGCATTGGTGATTCTTCCCATCCATCAATACCCCGAGCATATCACGTCATCCTCAGGGATAAGTCATCGATTATATTTACTAGATAGCTCCTTTTAAACCCATGCAAGATCAACGCGTTCTACATCATTTCATCACAGCCGCCCAACCACACATTTGCCATTCTTGAAGTCCTTCCGGCAGAGGCGACGATGCGGTACATTTCTTCCATTACTCCTACCGCCCTCTAATTCTCCAGCTTCACCTCAACATCATCTACCACAAACGGTTTCTCAGCAGATCCATCCATGGTAGCCCTGTCTGCGTCCTGCAGTCCCTTCGAAGATTGGCCAACTTGCTCCGCATCATCACCCCGAGGCTGCTGAAGAGACAGTGCTTGACATTTCGGCATCATTCCTCTGATGCCGCTCTGGCTTCGGATCGGGGCCACTCTTTGTTTCTTGAGGACTGTGCCAATGACTGTTTTCTCGCCTGCTAGCTGCATAACGCCCTTCATCTTTAAGTTGTAGGCCTTGATGATCGTCGCAGGGGACAGGACTGCTGCCTTCAAGCGTTTTCTTTCTTGATACATCAGATCGGCTAGAACTACCTGCTCTGATTGTAGACAGCGGTCGGGTCTGTCTACGGGTTTTCTTGCAAGATCCCGAGAGCCTGTTATTTGCTTAGCAGGCGCCTGTTCCTCAATCTATGTCTTAGCAGGATGAAAACAATTAGGATATGAGGGACCATACCGTTCTGCCAGGCACTGCCTGTCCATTCATCTGACTTTGACTTCTGGTTTGTCTGGTATTGTTGCCTGACTGACCTGGGCTGTTCTCTTGGTCCTGGGTACCCTGAGGAGTGGCACGAGGTTCAACGGCGGCTGACGCAATGGTTTTGGCTAGACTTGGGCCAAGCGTAGAGAAGCTATCTCTTGAGGCAACATGACTTGCTTCTTCTCTTGACACTCCGATCGTAGGGTCTATCTTTGCTCTTTTCTTTGCTTGCTCCTCCTGGATTCCGTCCTGTTGTTGTCTTTCGCCGGATTCGTCCAATGGCCGCTTCGCCAACACCTGCGTAAGCTTGACAAGCTCCTCTAGAACACCCCGCATGACATTTGAGTCTTCGTCTCTCTTCTTTGCATCTTCATCCCGTATTTTTGCCATCTCTTGCAGCTCTTTTCTGAGAGATGCGATTTCATTGTTCGCGGCATCCTTCGCCCGATCTTGGCCATTCTATGATATGGTTAGCAGCCTCGTGCTGGTAACATCCTAACTCACCTTTGATTGACTAGATGCTGAAGAGTCGACGTAAAATTGCCGCTGCACTGATGGTTTTCTTGAATCTAGATTTTGGGCCTCTCTCAGTTTTCTGTTTTCAGCCACCTTCAGGCGGAGTAGAGCTGTGGGATCCAGGGGAGAAAGCCCGCCCTGGAGAGGAGCGCCAATGGGCTTGGGTTCGCTCATTGTCTCGGATTTCTGGGGCAAATTAGTTGGTTAGCCTGAGAGTAAGAGCGGTTGAGCAAACAAAAGCAACTTACTTGATGTTGCTGAATCCTAGGCCTTGATTGAACACGACTTGTTGGAATATGATAGATGATAAACGATTAAAAGAAGATGAGACGGTATGGGGCTTGCAGACTGAGTTTTAACTGTCAAGCTCGAAATGGAGGGAAGGCCCACGGAGGTTGAGATGAGGTGAGCTCAGACTGCTGGGAACCGTAGTGAGGAAGGCAATGGTCTGTCAGGCAGAGGGCAGTTCAGGTCGAGGCGGGGGCCAATGTTCTCAGGGGAGGCTATTGGTTCTGCTGAACTCCTGGGTAGCTCTTGTTGTATTTGGTGTCTGTTGGTGACTTGTTTCCGATTGTTTCCTGCCAAGCTGGCGATGACCTATTATTTCAATTCGAGATTGATGGCGGGAAAGGACCCAATGTCTACCTAGGTATGGAAGTCGCAACCTTTGCTTGTCGTGGTATATTGCCTGGAAGAAAGAAAGACGCGTTAGTCCGGTACTTTGTTGTCTCTGCCTCTTCAAATTGCTTTTTTGTCTCGGCGGAGTTCAGATGGACACTCCGTCAAATACCAAACAGGGGCATAGACAATATATAATTGCCGGAGAATGCGGACTTGGAGTGTCAAGGTCGAGGATTAGGGCTGGAGGTGGTTTGGGGGGTTATGCAATGTGATGTGGGATGAGGGAGACGGGGAGAAGACATGTTGATTGTCAAGTTCACCTGCACCTGATGTAAGTTCCTCTAGCCTTATCGCGCGAAATCAAGGGAAACTAACCGGGTAGTAAGATTAAATTCACTTCAAGAGGATGCTCAATTTTACCCGACTAGTTCAGCTTTGGCCATTAACCTGCTAATCAAAAGTTAGGTCATAATAAACAAGGCTACCCACAAAATAAGCGAAAAGTGACCTCGAAAACATCTATCTGCTCACTCTCAACTTCCTCCGACCTTCTCTCGAATTCTGTTCTGTATCAACAAGCTCAAATCACAACCGCGAAGAACCAAAATTCACTACAATGAAGTTCCTCGATCTGAACAACATCAAGAACTTCCTCATGGGACGTCAAGCCTCGACTCCAGGCGTCGCTGGTCATCACGTCGACTCCGCTATTGACATGAGTAAGGAGTCCCTACTGTTCGCCATTGTTCGAAGGCAACTACTGATTCTACTCTAGCTATGCCACCTGCTGGAACTGATCCCACCGCCAACTACCACCCCGGAGCTCCCAACATTCCTGCCAGATACCGTGGACGCACCATTCATGTTGCCGTGCTGATCCTGGCCTTCTGCTTGATCATCCTTCCCTCGTTGATTGCGATTCAAGTCTTGACCTCCCGTGCCCATCAGTCGAACGCCCCCGTGGACCCAAACGATGTAAGTGCTGATTCTCAATCTTCGAACGTGAATCTTGACTGATAGTGAAATAGCCATCTCACCAACCAATTACCCACTTGTGAGCGCCTCTCGATTTAATTTACGTCTGGGGTATGGATGGAATCTGGTGGTCATTGGCAACAACTTCGATCTGGAGCTGTGCTGCCTGCCGCCTTCGAATTCACCTTTGGGCGTGAGTACAGGCTCCTTATTCTCACAGCCTGACAATGACTAACGGTGGTTGTTCCTAGGATACAAACTTGGGACGATAAGAATGAGCGAATGGAATGAGTGAATGGATGGGTGAAATGGAATGGATTAATGAATGAGAACTTCAATTTCGTCTGGATTTTCTTTCATCTGAACTTGTGCTCTGTGACCCACTCTTGGATTTCCTTCGAAAGCTGAACTGCCTGCCTGCCTCTCCATCTTACCCTTTTTAAATGCTCCCAGAGACATTCAAGCCCATCTGAATTCGCTAGTCGTTTCTCTCCTGCCACGCTTGAACAAACTATGAATATTTCTTTGTTGGCAATCCTTTCGCGCAATTGACAATATTCCTCAGGGCGGAATTGCTGTACACTCGTCCCTTATCTAGAGATAGGCCTACAAAACGTTCTTGTCCACTTGACTCTTCCGCATCCTCTGTTCCATAGCAATCACAACATGTAGATTAGGTCGTAGATCGTGGATATCTATCCATGTGTTGATTGAAGTCGTTAGCCTGTTTGTACCCCGAGAATGTGAGTATCAAGACTCTGTCTGGTAGTGAAAGTAAGATTGCGCTGACAAGATCTTCTCTTGAGTGGTCATGCATGGATTGAGTACTGCCGCAGCGCCTTAGTATTGTTGGGTTGAACAATTTCTCCGCTTGAGTGCATTTTTTGGCCGATGTATCTGTAGATGCCCACATTGAGAGCAGTGCTTTCAGATTGGTGGGAGCTGGGTTGCGAATGCTTCAACGTATCGCCTCGTATATAAGGAGTTTCTTATTCCAGCCCATATCCTTCTCATTGTATTTGCAGTTTCGACTATACCAGACATACCCTAACGAGTCAGTCAGAGGATGAAGTGACATATATGATGTAGGTTTGTTTACCTGAATTGTATCTGGTAGTAAGGGAACATGGAGAGTATTCGTCCAATATCCTTCCAAGATCTGCATTTATATGTATGACTTGAACCACCCCCTTTGAAAGACATTGCGATTGTCTATGACCACTTACTAACCCGGCAGGAGGTTCGCGTTTCGGGGGTTCCCTGGACTCCTGCCCATATCGATTTTCTGCTCCTTGTACCATATCTCATAGGTCACTTGTTATTGATTGCTGTGGAAATCGAGCTGAATATGAGTCGCCTAGAACAAACTGCTTGGTCAAACCATGCAACATCTGAACTTGGTTACTCGTGATGTAGTTTCT